CCGCAACGGGAGAGGCCACAACAGGGAGAGGCCCGCGTACAGCAAAAAAAAAAAAAAAAAAAAAAAAAAAAAAAAAAAAAAAAAAATCAAAGACCACGTGCGCCATAGGGAGAAAGGCGGAAGTGAGGGTAAACCCGAACAGCAACCTGATGACCCACCCGGACTCCCTGTCTGAAGAACAAGGACAACGTAAGGGCTTGAGCAGAAACGAGGTGTTGCTGCCCCTTAGGGCCGAGGCACAGCACTGTCTGAGCAGCTCGGCCATTGGCCAGGCTGTGGGGTCAGATGCCTCTGCTGCCTGTGATTTCTCTGTGGACTCGAGGCCTCAGGAGGTTTGGCCAAGTTAAATTTCAGTTAACATTCTGCTAACTTAGTGGGGAAAAGTCCCCACAAAAGCTCGTCTAACTCTATGTTAATGAAATGCTGAAAGACGTCAGGTTTTCAATAAATCACGACCCTGACAGGTATTGTAGGGAATCAAAGAGAGAAGCTGGTGAGGCCATCCTTCTAAAGGCCCCTCCGACGCAGATCCCTCAGGGGCGGGTGGGAAGGCTCATCTCTGCCAAGCTCCCACTGCCTCATTTATCTTGCTGCCGAGAGCAGCTGAGTGTGTGCCTCCAGCTGACGGCGCGGCACCTACTCAACACACACGCTGCGCAGCCTGGAACGTTCCGCACCCTCCGTGGGCCTCAATCAACAGAGCGTCCAGAGAGCTCGCGCTCCTCTTTAGGACTGACAGTTGTCCCCCCACCACACACAGACATGGCTGCTTTGTGTAACACTTTGCTGAAATTTTCCGGCAAAGTAAGGAAATACATGATGTGGAAAATGCCAGCCTGGGAGACACGAAGGCAGCGAGTGACTCCTCTGGCTCCACGTTGGGCAACGTCTGCAGGGCTCCTACCTCTAATTCTTAGGACATAGCTTCCAACGGAGCAAAGTGACACTTTCCCACCTGAAGTACAAGCCAGAGGAGCAAGCGCTCCAGAAACAGGGACCCAGGCTGAACCTCTGTGGCTCTTCCACCTTTGGGGAGACCCCAGGAGGCATTGGGTGGCTCTCGTCTGCTTAGGATCGCGGCAGGGCAAGTGAAGTGCAGTCCCACAGATGTGACATGACACACGGACCAGAAGGCCTTTCCGCACCCGCACACAGGAGACCCATTGTGACTGGTGCTGCTTGCTAGGGGGTCGGGCCACCGCCTTCCTTCCTGACCACTGGCTTCCAAGCTGTGTCTTCCAAGCTAAACGTCCCACAGAGTAACAAGTCTTCGGCAACACCCAGGATCTCAGAGAGCACTGCCCTTCCGATCAGGAGTGCTCTTCAGAAGTTAGAGACTCACGTCTCCTGTGTTTCAAGATCTCTGATGCCTGAATGAGAAACAGAAAACTCATCTCCAAATGAAACACACTTCTGGAGAGTCCTTGAGGGCCGGCTCCTAAAAAAGCAGACCCTGAGATAAAAAACGTTCAAAGGAAAAGTCAGTTTTGCATCACACATAATTTTTCAGGACTTAAAGTCCAACTGCTCCTGCAAGAAAGCAGGTAATGCACATAGCATGCAGGGCCTCGGTCTCACTTGTTATTTTCTCTCCAGCCGCCCTCTCCAGGGTCAGTCGAGAGTTTCCCAACTCACCTCGCGACGGGCCTGAACCACAGAACTGCTTCCTCAACAGACTGCACACCTCTCGCGTGCCTGGTCCTGCTTCCCACAAGAGAACACGCAACAGAGGGGGCATGTGACAACGTCCCCACAGCCCGCGCTGGCGGAGGACACAGGTGCGCTGCAGGGCCGGGCTCTGTCCTAACACCAACACTCCCACCAACGGCACCCATGCCAGAGCTCTGGGGACGTGCCTGCCATGGCCACAGAGAGGGGCTCCAAAGGGTGAGTCAAAACAGCACTGCTGGGCTTTCCTGGTGGCGCAGTGGTTGGGAGTCCGCCTGCTGATGCAGGGGACGCGGGTTCGCGCCCCGGTCCGGGAGGATCCCGCATGCCGCGGAGCGGCTGGGCCCGTGGGCCATGGCCGCTGGGCCTGCGCGTCCGGAGCCTGTGCTCCGCAGTGGGAGAGGCCGCAGCAGTGAGAGGCCCGCGTATCGCAAATGCTAAATTCTCCTCGGCATTTTTTTTTTTAACATCTTTATTGCGGTATAACTGCTTTACAATGGTGTGTTAGTTTCTGCTTTATAACAAAGTGAATCAGTTATACATATACATATGTTCCCATATCTCTTCCCTCTTCGTCTCCCTCCCTCCCACCCTCCCTATCCCACCCCTCCAGGCGGTCGCAAAGCACAGAGCCGGTATCCCTGTGCCATGCGGCTGCTTCTCACTGGCTATCTACCTTATCTCCTCAGCATTTTATTAACCGAATTAATAAGAACCTTCTCCACAGATTATTCAAAGATGACAGGTCCACACAACTTGATTTAAAATGATTACAGAGAAGTTAAAATCAGTAAGGTTTGATATAATAACTTCACACTTGCAGTATCACGGGTCACAACTCTGATTTCCTTTCTGTGAAACCTGGTCATGATTTCATTCTTACTAAACAATGTAACAGTCAACCATAAGTCAGATTTGAGTGCTGCAATTATATCAATAATTTAAAGAAATCTGAGAGGAACGTATTCCACTTAAATGAGGGGGGGGAGTGATCTCCCTCAAGTTTTTTAACGCTCCATCCCCTGATTTTCTGAGTCCAAGAGTTTATCTGCTTACATGCTCATCAATTAACAGCCAATGTCCCAGTATCAATGTGACATGATTCTGTGCATAAAAATTGGAAAGAATTTCAAAGGTTTATTTTTTAAATCTTCCAAAAGGAAAACATCTGTTCATAAGTTTTGAAAGTAATATGATATAAACAAGCCCTATTCATAAGATAAAAGTCAGAAATATATTAGGAACTACAAGATTTTTACTCTCAAATATGTTAGTAGATTGGCCCTAAATTGCAAAGTTGGAGCCAGAGGGCCCAGCCTGGGTCTGTGGGGATTGGTCTGGGGCTGGGAAGGCACCTCTCCTTCGCTGGTAAAACGACGAGTCCACCCGAAGCGTCTCTCCCACCAGAGCGTGGGGTGACTCCCTTAACACTGGACAACAGGTGCCAGAGGTCGTGTGCAAATGTGACAGCCCGAGGTCGTGTGCAAATGTGCCTCAGAACCACGTGGAGTTCCCAACAGAAGTGACACAGGCTGCACGGAATATGATGTGTGTGCAGAAACATATACATGCACGTGTAAACATGTATGTCCAGAAGTGTTACAGCCTGCACAGACCGTGATGTGTGTGCAGATACATGTCCGTGTGTGTGTGTGTGTGTGTGTGTGTGTGTGTGTGTGTGTGTGTGTGTAACGTAAGCCAAGACTAACCTCCCGCTGTCACTACCACCTCCCAAAGCCAGGCTCTGCCTGGCAGCTGCCCCCTCCCCACTCTGCTCACTGCTCACTGTCGCTCAGGGGGTTCTGCCAACACCTGTGTCAGGTCCAGATGTGCCTCGGGTAGGTCTCAGTGAGGCTGTAACGATGCAGTCGGGAAGGTGTCCATCTGTGTGAATAACCTGACGATGCTGCTCTGGGTCACCTCAACGAAAAGTGAAGCAATCAGCTCACAAAAAAGAGGCATTTAAATGCACTAATTTCCTTAAGTCCTTATTTTTATTAGTTACTAATCAGCCCTTCTTCAATGAGGAATTTAAAAAGGATAAATGGAGAAAAATTAAATCTCCTCTTACTTTTCAAAACTATCTCTTGAATTTCAAACAACT